TCAGGGTTGATTGAATTCCAGCTAAAGTGGCTAAAGTGTCGATGAGATTGATCTCGTCACCTGGAGGAGACCTCGACTTCCATTCATGGTCAGGTCGTGGATGCACACCTTTGTGGAATCTGAAAATAGGATGAAAGAACTGTAACTAATATTTATTTGGTGACGAGTACTTAACAACTGAGATTCATCCGAGATGCCCACAAATCCCACAATCCAAATAGATAAGTGTTTATCCCTCTACGACCAAGGTAGGAATAGGAACTATGCATACTCCTTTCATACGCATATACACAAAAACACGCATGCACCTTCACATACCCATTAGGCGAACGTCTGACTTGATATCACGAATGGTTGCGGCGTTGGCTGCCTATAATAACCTGAGAGGAAAGAAATTCTGCAGATTGGCCTCAATTCGACAGATGATCGTAAAATGATCGTCAGGGTTGGTAGAATAACGACAGTAGTCCAAGTGTTTTAAAATGGAGATTCCCACACACCTCATACATCGATTTTCCATTCCGCTTATTAATTGAGTAAATGTCATGCGACAACATCACTTGTCACAACATCACTGTGACATCCAAATGTGCGTTTTTGAGAGAGCATGGAGAGTTGTCGACCATGCATATCCACGACATAGAATAAGAAGAAGTGAAACTGACATAATCAACGTGAATGTAATGAGGATTTCTCATCACGGTGACCTGCAGAATTGCTGGACTAGCTAAATTTGCATCCATCTCCTATCCTCATTGTATTTGATCATTCTATGATTATTTTCGTATTTTGTAGAACTTCAGCCCTTTTACAGCACGTGTGAGTGTACTGATTTCCACAATCGCGATAGAGAAATCTGCTAGCATCGGACTGATTGGTGATCACATAGCTACTCAATCATTCTGTATATAGATTTCTTTGTGGAATATAAGTCTGACACTGAGAGTACATCAAAGTAGGAATGCCCACATCATACCGAAAAGATCAAATACTTCTATGTGGACTCAATGTCCAATTTATTTTCAACGATTATCATTATCATTAACTTTTCTGAATCACTACATGACCTCGACAACAATCGAGGTTTGTTGTCGAAGCAAAGTGGTGCAGTTCTCAACAGAAATGACGAAAAGTATCTCACATTATCGGACATTTCTTCAACAACAGACAACAGCCTCACACGACATACTGTTGAATGCTATAATAATCGAAGCTGCTGTGAGAAGAGTACATAGTTCACTCTCCAAATACTCTGTAATGTAAATCGTCTACTGCGTGTTCAAATACAGTCGAGAATAAACCTGTGAGTCTTGTCATGATTTTGATTGTTATCAAGGAATCGTGTTTCAGTCAGTAGTTCATGCAGTCATCAAAACAAACAATCTTCACATGGCTTGTTATCTTGACCGATTCATCCATTGAACAACGTGAACATTTCCCCATGATGCAGGACTATGATCGGGTTCACGTGTATATCAACGCAGAGTTTTTGTAAAATCTCGTATCATATCACTCTGCTCAGAGTAGAGAATATGGAAGATTAAGAAGGCATTTAGAAAGGAGAAGGATTGAGGCGAGAAATATCTCCTTTCCAATTAAATCATCGATCTATGGCTCTACTCTAATATACACGTGTAGCGTGTTTAATACAATACACAGAATTGTAGTCAAGTCGACAAGGAGGATACATGATGAGATATCAGAAACCCATCAATCGCACTCAGATCTCTTAATCTGTCGGCAAAATCGATTCACTGTCTATCACAGCTCCACAGCTCAATATTTCAGAAATCATAGGATTGAACAAGTCAGTCCACTCAAGTATTGTTCACACATGAAACCAAAATCACCAGTATGACATTTTGATGGATTCAGTTTTAAGACCATTTAGATGAGACGACTTGTCAACTTCAGATAAGAATCTACTCATCATATAAGAACAGTGGAATGCAGGAACTACTGGAACACGAATGGTTAGATCATCATCGGCATATTTAATGAAGCTGGCTTTGGGAGGATCCGGAAGATCAACCAAACATAAAGACTGGCCCTATTCAGGTAGGTAGTTACCTGGGGTTCTAGTGGGAAATCGTGACCAGTAGGGTGCATCATATCGGGTGTGAGGACAAATACTCGCCGAAGACATTGGCTAGCGTTTGCTCTATATCGTCAATTAGCAGACGTTGGATTTCATGGGCCATTGGATCGGGTCCCTGTGGCTTAATGGTATACGTGCTTAGTCTATTAGCACACGGAACCATGATGAAATTAAACAGAAATGGGAAGAGTGAACATCACTGACACTCTCACCTGGCTGATTGCATGAGTTATGGGAGTGGAGTGAGTTTCTTGGTCAGTGCAATGTATTTTCCCGTAATTCCATCCATTCACAGCCAAACATCTCCGTAGTACCGCTCGGTCAACCGAATCGAAAGGTACATTCAGGTCGAGAAATATGACGATTGTTGTAGGGACGCCGGTTCCAGAATCTGTCGAAGAGTGAAGATATGATCGATACACCCTCTTTCTAGTCTAAAGCCTGTGTGATACTCTCATGGTTTCGCCTTGCGAGAAACCTCTCAGACTTCGAATGATTATTGAGCCAGGAATTTAAGTCAAAATATTGGTCGAGCTAATCCGCCGGAGTCAGTCTTCACGCGTCTATCGATTCGAATGAGGTAGCAGAAATCCACTGGATTTTACTAACTTCCGGTTTCAGGTTATTAACAGCCTTTACACCTGTGTCTACAGCCAACTGCATATTGTGCGAGGCTTCTTCAGGAGGAGTCTCGTTATCGACCTCAGGTGCTCGTCTCGATATTTCTTGCTTAAATAGAGACTGTGTGTCGATCTAGTTGTGGGCGTGACTGCTTCGCTGACAACAGTTTCCATTGTCCGTTTAATAGTGAGCATAAAAGTGTGCGAACTAGGGAGTTCATGGAGTCAACGCATGTGTTCCAGGAGGAGTGGAAGTCTTCTACTCACTCTCGCCAACGATACCCCATCGCCATGTGGTCAATCTGTGTCGAGTATTGATTCAGGGACTGAAGTGGCCAGGTTAGGCAATGTCACTGTTTGTTCCTAAAGTTGGTGCCGACCAGGAACGAGGATTGTCTGAACAGATCTGTGGGAGACGATCTCCGTTGTCAGTTTGCGACAGAGAACTTTGTTCCTGCCACCTACATACTCATCAGTCTCGCATGGGTAGTACACTTAGGCGCCGAACTCACCTCATAAAACAACTATATCGGAGCGTTTTGCTATTTGCAGCGAACTAGACAGTCTCTGATACCAGAAATCTGTGATCGCAGAATATAAAGTCAACACAGACTAATGACAAGCCATTTGTGCAGATAGCAGCAGAGAATTCAGTAAATTCGTGCGCAAAGCTAGATATATCAGCGAGACCTCAGTCTGCAGTCACCCAAACATTTGTTATGCACATATAGGAATATTCACTGAAGTGCCTTGGACGACACCACACCACACCACACTGTCTCAGTGGAACAGTCTATATTGTCATTGGAAGAATGAGGACATGCATGATTAGATGTAGAAGACGTTGTTTTAATAGAAGTGGCTACTCCTCTGTCATGCGTTTTCTATACACCATGCATGTCCTGATGGAAGACTTCATATTCATTGAAAGAGATTAGATTATCGTCGAATGTTGTTGAAGCCAAGTCTCTTGTATAGCCGAAACACCACCATTCTATCACACATGTGAGGATATTAGGGATTGGAGACAGCCGACTTTGTTAGGCAGAGACGTAATGATGACTTCACGGACAGTCATAAGATTAATTAAATCAGTCTGCAAGACGTTGTTTGCTGCAAGATTACAAATGATGTTCCCCAGGCGTTAGTTGTTCTCCGTCTATGTAGAAGATGGGCTGACTCGTCTGGTCGTCTCAATGTGCCCCTTTCAGTTGATAATAACTATTTGATAATATTAATCGTAGTCATGAGGAAAAGGTATATAGAATTACCAAATAAACAAAATAAGTAAACGTCTATCCCTCCCTCTACGGTGACCAGGTTAGACTGCCTATCTTTCATCCTAAAGCAGAGCGAATGAATTTGGGTGGCTATCACATGGAAAAGAAACCTAATCCATTCGCTCTGCTTTAAAATAAGGAACATTTGTAATTCTGATTGGCTTCACTCAGAACTTGACATCCTAAAAGCAACGACCGCAGAAAACGATCACCCTAACCGATTTATTGACACCAACATGAAAGATAAGCAGTCTAAACTGGTCACCGACTCACTTTCAAAGAAAACCTTATTCATCCACATGGAATTCAAAGGTGATCAAGCATCAGATATGCTCAAACATCGTCTCTTCTCTCTCGAGCAGTCAGTAAGATGTTCTTTGCAGCGAAATTGCATATGACGTTCACCAGGCGAAAGTTGTTCTCTACCTCTGTAAAAGATAAGCTTCTCCGTCTGGCCACCTCCATGTACATCTATCAGTTCACCTACTCTTGTGGAGCAAGTCATATTGACCGTAGTCAGAGGACGCTTTCCACACGCATAGGAGCACATATTCCAGCATCATGGTTTTACAAGTGAGAAAGGAAGTGTATGCGAAGCTTTATTCTGGAACACCCGGTCGACTTCTGTCACTCTGTCAACACTGAACATGCTTTCAACATCATAATATGCAGAATCCATGATAACTTTCCACATGTTTTCTTGGTTACAGACTAGTAAAGACACAGGAGGCTTTAGAAATTCATGACTTTAAGCCAGACCTCTGTATAAAAAGAAGTATGTGGAATCCCTACATCTGCCTTGGCCGTAGACGGATAGACATACATTTATTTTGTTTATTTGGTTATTCCATGTACCTTTCCCTCATTACTACGATTATTACTATTATTATCACCATCATTATCGTCATTATTATTATTATTGTTACTATTCTCACTCTGAATTGTTTCCACTTCACCCACTTGTCATTCACAACCCAAAATTTTTCTTTTTACTTTTTTATTCCTACAACATTGAATTCTATCTCATCAAATTTCACACCATGTTATGTAACATTTTATATTCGCCTACCAATCCTATAGCTATGCTCCACTTTCCAAAATATATACATCTTATATATTATTCTATATATGACATTAATTATGTTGCCTCTCGACATTAAACTGTGATTATGATCACAAATATTTCAATTGCATTTCATACTACTACTAATAATAATACTATTATTATTTCATGTATTCACACCTGTGACCTAATTCCCTCACCGGATATAATTTCTTATTAAAAACCATATACATATACGATTGTACAGCTTGATAATAAATTCGTTGAAAAGAGAGTCTCTTCCCCCGATATTGTGCACTCGTAATACAAACAAAACATTGAACGAAATATTTGTCAACACATAGTTGAGGTTTTCATCCCATCCACACAATCCACACCACTTCATCTTCACCTTTTTTGTGGTTATGATCCTCACACTTTTAGTACTATCACCTCACTTGACCTACTTTCAAATTCTTATTACCCCATTCATTCATTCATTCATTGAAGTAATAGATCCTTTTCACTCTCTACTATTCAACACCTGACTACATCATTCCTCACCAATGTTACTTACTCTCACTTCCAATCAATTACTCATTATCATTGTTAAAAACAAGTATGTCCACATCGCTAATTTAATTTAATTCAATTCAATTGATAATTTCGGTACTATTCTTTTGACAATACGAGTTGAGAAGTATCCAGGAATTAATAAAAATGAATTATCCCGGTACATTTGTCATTCCTGCTTTATTCGAATTAATATTCTCCTACTACACTAGCTAACTGACGCAGTATTTATTTATACCTGTCAGAAGTCACGGAAGCGAGACCAACATTTCCAATTAACACATCCAGCGACTGTTACAGTCGCTTTCTGTGCTGAATTCCACTAGTCACACATACCGTCGTCACCCAAAGTGCACCAAAACGCAGAACTCGGAATGACAAATCGACTGACAATCGAATGTTAATCAGCCCTTACACCTGACCAATACACTGGTTAACAAACACTCGATATATCTTCCAATGGAACCGTCTAATAACCTACACTTCGGACAGTTCTCAGTTTATCCAGTGGTCACCATGAATCAAATCGAAACTCATTAAGCTTAAAGATAAATTGAGAGTGAAAATAAGGATGATGGGAGATCATTCGCGAAATCATCATTCTCATACATGCGTTGTCATTCTAAATAACTGTCGACTATTTAATCAACTCGACTTGAATTCACTCTACTCTCCTTCGTCATCATTCCAGGCTGATTTGGAAGCCGACCTCACCCACAATTCTATTCGCCTATTTCTCCTACACACAATATCAAGTAAGTTTCCTTGTAATTATACGAACACATCCACCGTCTACATCATACACTGCCTGCGTTGACAACGTAATATAACTCTGAAACGCAAATGTCACGCTTACCGAACCACGAAGTACCAACGAACGACCAACTCACTCACTCTCTCTCTCTCGCCCTCGCGCGCGTATACACTAACTCACATACACTACCACTCCATCACGAGAAAACACACCACACAACATAAAGTAAACTTTATTCAAAATGTTATAATTAAAGTTAAACAAAATATTTAGCAAATCACCGTGAAATTTCACTTGAGTGAATCTCCATGTTGTAGATTGGTTGATAACAACTGAGAATTCTCTGGCGAATGTCATCGCTAACGCCGTATTCATCCCAACAGCTCTTCACCATCTCTTCATCCGGTGGGAAGTGATCCCCAATACCACAGCTTATTTTCAACACATCTCGTAGACATTGTTCACAAGGCATATATCTCTCATCACGAATCACACGCAAAATATTCTCCCAACGTTCACTGTAGTCGAAATAGTGCTTCTCACGCGTCTCTCCATTCACAGACAACTGAGGATACAGCATCAGTTCACTTTCCGGCTCAAAGATTCTGAGATATGTGATGAGTCGACCGAACAGGTTGTTCGCTGTGTCGGTAGTTGTTGTCCTCGGTGAACCGGTCAAATATTCACCATCTGTGTGGTAGTGGAATGGATCATCAATTATTTGACGGTGAAGCCTTCGGAGATCATTCAGTTCATGGAGATTCTCAAACAAGGGGATGCACACAGATCGAACCATCCTGTTGGCGATAGCGTAGGCGATTCGAGTGTATGTGAAACCAGCTGGTACTTGATAGAAATATTTACCGACATCCAGTTTCTTGAGTGACTGATTGTTGTAACCAATCGCCTTCACAGATCTGATTGGATGATGAAGCTGTCGGTGTTCCGTCGCCATACGGAAAACAACCAATTTCGAGACCCATCGACCAGTGATCAGCATCGCCTTCTCCTTATCACCCTCATCTGTCAGACCATATTTCTCCATCACACCACTTCGAAGTATTCGCCACGCGTAGCTGTCCCTCCGAAAGCCACTCGGTGTGTAACACCTCTCCTCAAAGTAGTTCACAACAGCCGCCATCATCACTGAGATGCATGCATTCATCATCTCTCCTCTCACAACATCTCTCATCTCGGAACTACTCGCCAAATTCTCCACTGTCCAACAGCCATAACTCCAATTTCCATCCTCACGACCATTTGAACATACATCATCCGGTAGTGATATATATTCGCTTGTGGCTTCTTCAGGAGAAGCTGTGTTTCCACCTGCATCTCCCTCTGTTGACGTCGTCAACTCTCCCAGAAGTCCATGGAGAATCACCGCTAACGCTGCATTCGTCAGCCACACACGCAGTGCTTGTGATGCACACTGACCAACAGATTTGTACACATGAGCAGCCGCTGTCACACCAAACCTCATCCATAATTTCTTCGCTTCAATCGGATCCACACCATCATCAACTTCGGGAAGAAACATCTTGTCAAGCACCAAGACGAATTCGCGCTTTGTCCAATCACAAGAAACATCTGATGGTCCACAGTCGAAATCGTCATCAAGTCTCATGTTGTGCGTCACAACACTAGCCAGTTCATCGATCAATCTCTCCATCTGATTTCGAATGTGCAAAATTTGTCAGTGTATATCGTTGATGTGAATGGGGAATTGTGAATTCGTGCGAGTTTGATAATTAATGTGTGTTTGTGTGTATTTGAACAGCCCATCATCACGTCAGTCCACCAATGAGATGTCACTTTCAACCAAACCAATCAAATATGACTGAGAGTTAAGCTAGCGTGTGATTTGTTATACTCGTTTATGTACGATCAACCAGGGGATTGTTCAGGTGATGTTTAGGGGGATAGAAGTGAGTGGGATGAATCACTGAGTGGAGAATGTTATTTATCCATTGAGTGAATTGATATTAATAATTTGAAAGTAGGTCAGTTGTTTTCACATTGCGAACAATTTGATCCAGCACACACGAACTTTTCATAAGAATGTATATGAAACTATTAAAGTGTTAAGCGGTGAGAATATAGACTCAGGTCAAGTTAAAAGGACATATTGAAAGTCAAATAACAATGAAGATCACTAAACCAAAAGAGAGGGGAAATAGTACATTCTAATAGAGGTTTTTGTATTTCCCAATGAATGAAAACAAAACGATATTGTTTTTACTAACTTTTCGCTATTTAATGATGCTAATAGCTTTATCAAGTAGTATTATTAAACCGGAATTTACAAAATCTCAGCATGTATATAATGAAGAGTCCAGAGGTGTGAAAATAGACTTAGGTCAAGTTAAAAGGACATATTGAAAGTCAAAATAACAATGAAGATCACTAAACCAAATAAAAAGGTAATAGTGCATCTCATATGAACTGTGATCAAGATTTGATCGGATAGTTGCAAAATAATTGAGCGCTGAGTGAGAAGTAGGCATTTTGTAATAGTACATCTGTCATGATATCAAATGAAAGTTGACTAACTTGATCATCTTTCGTCTGTCTGGAGTCATTTTTCGTTGTCAAGTCGGCCAGTTGTTAAAGATAACAAAACCAAGTGTAGATTGTTGGATTTGATCAGTGTGTAAACTTATCAAAGCAGCTTGTGTGTTTTTGCATAGTGAATTTGCTCATCACATTCGTGTTGATTTTGTCACTTGACGGGGGAGGGAGGTGTTGTAACCATGTTAAATTCTGTTTTAGTCTATCATTTCTATTCAGACAATTTGGATTCCACTTGATATGAAGTGCTTTTGATGAAATGAGACGTTCTTTGTGATTTCTGAAATGCTTTTTCTGGATGATGATTTCAATATTGTCAAAATCAATTTTGTGGTCTGATTCTATAGCCCAGCGTGTTGAGGACCACAGCTGATGATTTTTCAAGCTTTTCTAGTTCAACCGGATTTCTCGGTGGTCAAAGAGATGTGGCTTTACAGTGCTCATTTCTTCTGTTTGTCCGATGTAGATCGCATCACATTCCAAGCAGGTATTTTATTCTATAGACACAATTAGATAGAGTATGTTCACTGATTTGGTCTTTTATATCGACAAGGTTACTTTGCAGTGTGTGTGTGTGTGTGTCTGATGTTTCGAAGAAACTCTAATGTCGAGCTGATTGAATACTCTTCTGATATCGTGTGACGTCTCTGCTATATATGGAATGACGACGATAAATTCCGGTTTAATAATACTTCGACAAAGCTATTAGCGTTAAATAGCGAAATGTCAGTAAAAACGACAATATCGTTTTGTTTTTGATTCATTGGGAAATACAAGAAAACCTTCATTATAATGAATGTCATATACCCAATGCCCAAATTTTTTCAAAAAGTTAAAAGTGAACTTTGTTTTGACGTATATAAGGTAATAGTACATCTAATCTGGCTGGTATCAAAACAAAGTTTACCAAGGAAGTTTTATTGTGATGACAAATCGCTTTCGAACGCATAAGGTGGTTTGAACTTTCTGATTACTAGGGCTTACACAAACTCTTCGAAATTCCCCAAACACCTCTGATTGATAGACTTAAAAGGGGTGCAGACATCGATTGCATAACGTGCCTGCTATGTAATACGTTTCGCAATAGAGGAGCTAAGTCATCTCTTCTCACCATTAATGGCCTCTGAATATTCCATTCGCTTATAAAGCTAGTCCTTGCTTGCAGAGATCGATGAGTCCTCCCTGTTTGCGTGTGTGTGTGTGTGTCCACACATACATTCAAGTTGGTGAATACAGTGGGATGTGACATCATTTTTCGCATGTTCAAAGGGCTTAGATGAATATATTGGCTTCACATTCTCAATTATTATGATATCAGCTGCATAAAAGGTCGTTTTAACAGCAGTTCAATAGTTTACACACAATGATAAGTTTTCTTCTTGGTAATATGTCCAGCAAAATTACTGTCCGTGCTCACACCACTGTTGGAACTGTTTTGTATTTTAATCAATAATTGCAATTACACACAAGCATACAATGTGATGATGGGATAAATTAACAGTTTTAAAATCTTATATAACAATAGGGTGGAGGGAGAGATTGATAATAGCGGAAGCTTTGTTTATCGAATCAACTGGAAATACGTGTAATGAGAATGATTCAACATCTGTACACATAGATATCTGGAAAATTCTACTACCCCAACAACGACAAATAGGAGAGAAAGAAGAAAACAATAAAACTGAAGATTCGAAGTCGTGTGATTATTACTGATGAAATGATTATGAACAGCAATAAATTTTGTTCGAAACGTCATCCAGTAAATAATAAATCAAGGATGAACATGTCATAATAATATCGGAAAGCGAATGACAATTTCCTGATGATATCATTTACAGGACGATTTTCTAGTTTCCTTGGAAAGAAATCCTCTAACATGGTACCCTGTGGAAAGCCCGACGGTGAGAAGATGGCTAACGAAGGCGAAGATGGTGGTCAGCGTGATGATGATGCTGATGACGACAAAAATGGGAGTGATTGGAGTTCCCCGACTGTCCGACAGTCAGACGAAGAATCACCACCATCAACAAAGACGTAAGTTCCGGATGGAAGTTGGATTTATGGCGACTGGAGAGACAGTAATATTGCCAGTACTGAGGAGATGGAGACAGTCATACAACCAGAAATGTTGGATGACTGTGTCACAGTGATAATTGCATCAGTCATCTGCTTCTTCCGTCAAGGTCAACACATTCCCCATCGAAGAAATGTGGACTACCTAATGCAAATCATTCAGAGTAACATGATGAATAGATATGGAGTAGTTGAGGAGTGTGACAAACTCTTCCTCATGTATACAACTGGCAGGTGGATATCGAAATTGAACATTTTAACGTCGGTCATGAAACACTGGAATAGTAGGACTAAAGTACGTGCTGTACGTACATTCGGTCTAGGAGTGGTATATATGCCTGAAATCATAATCGAATGCTTTCATGGTGTACCAGGTGGATGGACTGATGTCTATCTAGTCGACTGTATCGCTGAGAAGTTGGTCAAATCAAGATGTATAAAATACTTCAGTGACTACACGTCTTTGATATCACACAGGAGATTAGTTCACACACTTTCTAACGATCCAATATACCACCTGTCACACAGAGAGTAAATCACTAACAGATGAGAAATGTTACACTGAGAAAGCCAATATTCCGTGTTTGTATGGTCGACTAATCACCTTCTTGAAGTATGCTGAAGCTGACAGCGAATTGTTCACCTATCCTCAATTGAAGATTTTCGGTGAGACACGTGAACAATACTACGAGGATTACTGTGCGAAATGGGAGTCCATAGTGAAGTATATTTACTCGAGAGATATTGATTCCTCTCATGTCTTTGATTCTGATCTACTGGAGGATGGTGAACTGAAACAATTCAATCTTGTACATGATTGTGACGGAAATCTCCTCAATGTGTGTTTTCAAGTTTATGGTGTACATACATAGTTTATACTTGTATTTGTATTTGTTTCTTTAATATAATATAATCTGTTATCCTGAGTTAATTCCTACCTCATTTCGACTCATTACACTGCATCGAGTTGATACGTCTCTTTTGACACGTCGCCTTCTGTGATATCTGGAGATTATGGAAATGTTGTTTGGTTGTTGTTGGCTTGATGTGAAATCCAATGATTGTCGTTTTGTCGCGTTTTTCACTTCTCAGTTGGGCATCCCATTGCCATCTCCACACTTTCTAAGGAGTCGATCAGGTATGGAATGACTGAGCAAGAGAGGTCAGTGGATGGAACTATTGCAAGGTATTCTCTGCTTGACTTAGTTTCTTTCTATTTCAGTGTCCTCTATACTATAAGCATCTTATGAGCGGACCAGTTCGTGTGGATCACGTTCACGCTTGAATGTGAAGTAGGCTGTCTGACACCAGGGGAATTCGTCGTGATATCATTTAGATTTCAACACTGTCACCTATCAGACGGAAAGTTATTCATTTTCAAATATATCGTCGTCACCATTTCTCTTGATGAATCCATTCAATTCGACACTTATCTACTCTGCTGACAACTTGATTTCTCCAAATGCTTCCGTTAGTTATTTCTCCTTGTGCTGTGTAGAGTGAGGCGGAAATCAGTTGACATGTAGTACTACATGTCGAGAATTCCACACATGATCGCAGATAGTCTTCTCAATGGGAGTATTATCAATGTCAGTATTGAACATTTCGGATTGTGAGGATTAGAGAGGTTTTGTGTGTATTTCGGATTGTGAGGGCGATTGTTACTTCCCGGCTGCCCACACCGTGGAAGTTGGTTGCGTGACCGCAGAGCCCAGAGGGGAAACCGCTTGAGGCCGGTCATATGCGACCTGTTTTTGTTTGTTCTCTTTTGTTTGGTGTGTCTCAGTAGCATACTTATCACTCCTGCCCTGTGACACGGCAGCAGGAAGCGCGGTAGTTGTTAATCCGGGCCACGGCCGATCCGGCATGAAATTTTGTGAATTTGTTTGAATCATGGTATTGGATGGGGTAGCTGCTTTTTGTTTAACCGCAATCCAAACAACCTTCCTGGCATGGCAGAAACTCAAGAGGCATACGTCTCAGCCAGTATAGCTTGATTAGGTCATTGCGGTGTTCAAGTCCGGCCACCACGTCAAGGTAGCAGCTTTTGTATTGAACATGGATTCATGGAATCAGAAAATATGGT